ACAAAAAGAAGATGCACATTCTCTGTCATATGGGCCTGCATGAATAAACTTTCTGAATCCTTTATCATCCATAACTGAAAATAGTTGTTTTTGCTGGCTGGAACATATCTCAGTTGACGAAGGTTGTTGTGGTTCACACCGCCTCTGGAAGACCGTACCCAACTCCAAACAGGTGGAGGCTCAGCCGGCAGGTCCATGGGAGCGTGAGGTCCAACAGGGTGAATCCAGCGATGACAGAACAATTTGTGGCTTGAGTGATCCCAGTGAGCATGGGAAGGTGGTAGGGTGTCCATGAAAGCAGTGAGTGGCCACATTATGAGAATTTAGAAAAGCCTTGATGCGAACACGGAGACCGCCTCATTTACCCCATCTCCTAGATCGCTTCTTGTGTGGAGGAGAAAAAGGTAAGCGGCGTAGACAGTCAGAAAAGTCCGGCGGAAGCGGGGGAAGAGTTTTCTGAATTCCACTAAAGATCAGGTGTTTGGTGATGCAGAGGCCTAAGATTCAGAAGAGTTTGACGATCATCTGTGAAAAACGTGTTGACATCAGGACAACACAAAAAAGAACAAATAACAAACAGCAAACAGAAGTCGAAGAGACGTGTGAGACACTGTGAACAATGGCGTCATCTTGGTGAGTTATTCAGATAGTCAATAAATACATAGCATCATCCTGTCCTATTTTTTCTTTCAATTTGCTTGAACCCTTTTAGGCACCACTTATGCAGTGTTGGGGTAATTAAAATTCCGTGTTAACATGTAGAGTTATGATGTCACTGTTCTGATCTTGCCCGACTATCGCTGGTTCTTCCCAACCTGCAGAATCACTGCCAAGTCTCCAGATCCTCAGGATTTAGAATCTACTTATGTGAACTGCACAGAGATTTATCTGGTGCTGACAGGGTTATTCAACAATATACCAATATGTGAACTCATCTAACAAGGGCTTAAATGTCACAGATCTTCATGTATATGTAAAAGTCATACAACCACAGTGTGTGCCTACATAGGCTGAGTCCTGCGAAGACCTTGAAGGCTGGAAGTGCGTGGCTGTCAAATGGGATGGTCTAGCCTACAACACGCTGCTAAGGCTACCTAGCAACCATGACACTGTATGCTAGATATGCCACTGTTTGAGAGCAATTAAGGTGGGAATCTTTATTTTATCCAATTTGTCTTACTGAGATTTTTCATTGGTATGTGAAATGTATTTGGCTGAGAAACCATGTCACTGTAAAAACATGATTCTACTGGTGAATTTGTCATGGTTTGACATCAGGGGTGGAAAGCCTCTGTTCCCATCAGTTCTCCCTCAAAGACACCACAGATGATGTGCAGAAGTGGGTTTCTCAGTTTCTCAGGTAAGTTGCAGGATCAAAACCCATGTTTAACTTATAAATACATCCACATACTTTGTATTTTGCAAACAGCACAAGCAGTATTTTCACATTTACCGTTTTTCATATTATTAGTACTAAATAAGACGAGAGCCAAAGTTGGTACACTGCCAAATGTTTGGCTCACGTGAATAAACCAATGACTGAACCGTCTTCTCATTAAAACAAACGTTAAATGTTGAGCTGAGTGAAAACCAGGCAGCATTCACAGCATGTCCACATGCTCGTGGATACATTATTGGTATTAAATATCCATAGAACCGTCAGTTTTTAGTCAGAGTACATTTTAAAGTACTAGTTCAAATCAAGTGGAACGTGAGCCACATTAAGTACTGACTAACATCACTAATGTCACCAATTTTGCTGACATGAAGCCAAATGGTTTAATGTTCTTAGTGATGGCTCAAAAATCAACCACAAACAGGGACACCCCATATCAGTGCGCGCGTCGCTATGAGACAAATTATGTGACCCATACAGCTGCCGTGTCATACACACTGACGTGGATGCAGTCGTTGTTTGTACAGCGATCAGGGCTCAACTTGTGTTTGTCGGGAAGTCCTTTGCATCGGAGCTGTTTGTGAGGTTATCACCCAGCACACAATGATCTCCACCTTTCACACACACCAGCACTCCCACTGTCACGAGCACTTATATTTCCCAAACATTTTCACTTTGATTTCACGTGTTTCATTTGCACGTCTTTGCAAAACCTATCTTTGAAGTCTGCATTTGACACACTGTATTAATCAGTCATATGAATTTGTTATAATTAAATTAATATGCACCTCTCGTTCATTCAGTTAGCACTTATATAAACAGGACCGCTCATCAGTCAGGATAAATGAACAATGTTCAGGATGCTTTCAATAATTGTACATCCAGCAGATGTCGCTATGAAGCAGCACATCCACACAGTCGACAGAAGGGAAACGTTGGGAAACATCACTATTAGAACCTAAACATTTACTCCTCGCTCCATGATGGGTAATTCATTTAAAAAAAAAAAAAAAACCCTCCACCACCACGGCTGCGCTATGAATCCTGGGATAGGGTGGACCACGAAGGATACATCCAACCTGTCCTTCACACCTGGGAAAATGAGGCCACATTTGGAGGAGCCTTCAAACTGGGACAGCCTTCATTGCCTCGCTGTGATGTAATCGGCCTTCAAGGATGTGGCCCCTGAACTGGGACACTGTATATGCCAGGGACCGGCCCTGGTACAGAGGCTAGGGGGCCTAAACGAGAAAACCAACAGGATTAGGTTGTGTAGTCCTTGTTAGAATTGGCTCAACACATTTATTTTTATTTATAATATAAATGGAATGCAGTATGATATCACTGCCGAATGAATTCTTTGATCTCAATAAGGGGAATCAAACTTAGAAAATACAAAATATGTATGCACATATTTTACTTTACAAAAATGGCATGAACAAGAAGAGAGTTATGTTTACAGCTCAGTTTCCACTCCTTGGTGTGTTGCAGTTGATTTTACCCTGAGCATGTTTCATCACGTTTGTCATTCTAACAGGACAACAGAACCAAGTCATCTGCTACATTTTCAAGCAGAAATGGTTCTGTGAGCATAGGAGGGAGGCAACCGCCCTGACGCAGTCCTCCCCTCCTGCTGCCTTTTATAAGACCGCAGGTCTCCCAAAGCTGGTCTACACAGAAAGGATGTGCTCCTTGTGCTGTCTCCGTGCCAGACCACAGACACTCCAGGTAGGGCTTCGCCTCACTTCTTTTAGGTGGGACATAAAAGAAACATACTGTATGTAGGTGGTGTTTTAAATTTTGTTGCTTGTCATTATTTTATTTTGTTTTTATTTATTTTTTTATTTTTACAAAGAAAAAAAGTTGATCTTTCTAAACTAAATGTTGAAATCTGCAGAAGCACTACATTCCAGGCATCCGTTATTAGCTAGTTATTAATTTCCTGAGTCTTAGTAAAAAAAAACTGTGTGCATGGCATAATTTAAGTAGTAAAATAAGTGAGAAGTAAAAGTAAATGGGGAGCTATCTTTCCAAGGCCACTGGTCATATTTCCTAACGCTCCCTTAACAATAGAGACAATAGTATAACCTGTCATTTAATTCTGCAGTCTACTCTCAACAATATCAGAAGATATGTGTTGGTTACTGAAGGTTATCTATCTGTTCTGTACAGAATGTCTACTCTGACGTTGTGATTATATCAGAGATCATAGTGTTCCCACTTATTTGTTTTGTTGTCTTTGTTTAGTTAAATTAATCCATTCAAACTGACAGTTTGGGTAGTGTGATTGGAAGGATGTTTGTTGTTTCAGTTCAACTATGGCCTAAAACAGCCCAAATGTTTCACTATTAATAAAATATTTAAGGATATCACTTTATTGTACAACAAAAATACCATTAATACAACATTCTGTTGTAAAAGATCATAAATAAATGTACAGCTGTAAGTATTTGGACAATTGTACATTTTTTGTAGTTTTGCCTGTGTACACTGCCACAGTGGATTTAAAATGAAATAATCAAGATGTGGCTGAAGTACTGCTGCTTTAATTCAACAGGTTTAACCCATTAATACATTTTCATACATACTGCCCATTTTCAGAGAGTCAAAAGTAACAGGGCAAACTAACATCATTTAGACTTTAATGATAGTTCTCAATACTTGAATTAAAATCATTTCCAGTCAATGACTGCTTCAGGTCTCAAGCCCATGGACATCAGCAGATGCATTTTTCCTTTGAGATGAACTGCTGGACCTTTACTGCAGCTGCCATCAGTTGCTGCTTGTGTGTGGGTCTGTTTGCCTCTTCATTAACTGAAAAGCCAGCAGCCATCCATGCCAGTGGCACAAAGATGCCTCCACTACAATTGTGTGCTGTCCCTCTTTGTTGCCAATATTTAATGTTGCCAATATTCTATGCAGGCTGTATTTAAATTCATGAAGCCATGTCTTGTTTACAGACTTGGGTGATGGTTTGTCTTGAGTTTGAGTTCTTGCCTTGACCAGTGTGAAGTCGTTCTGCAGTCACCTGCTTAAGATGTCTTCTGTGGTTTTTTGGGGCATTGTGGTGTTACTAAGCTGCACAGTGTGTTTTTGCTTGAAGAGGTTCAAAAGTCACTCATGCAATGTCAACAGATTGTTGAATATCTATCATTATACTTTCAGTCTAACGATGTCTTCCTTTATTTGCATTGAGATTTCTTTGGACCTAATATTGAAACTTGCACTGGATGGTTATTCAAAGACAACATTCAGAATCAATTCCAGATCTTTTATCTGCTTAATTTGTCAGAAACTATTGATGGAACAGGCCTCTCCTTCATGTCAGTCAGTTTCATTTACTTTTTTAACATTTGGAGTGTCAAAAACAGAGGAATATGTATAAAAATGGCAGCATTTCCTAAACACCTTTTTCATATTCTGGTTTTCTTCTTGTCTTCAGGTGCTGTGTGTGCAGATCTGCATGTTTTACTCCAGCATTTGTCTGGTAAGCTGGCCACTGTGCGCAGAGACAGCTAAAGTCCGATGTGGCTCTGACCTGCTCAGTGACCTCATGTTTGTCTGTGGGGACCGTGGAATCTATTTACGTGAGTCTGCTTCAAGTACAAGCTGTGGCTTTACTGTGAGTTTGATGCATCAAGCAGCAGGATGGGCCCACATTATTCAACTTACTTTAGTCATTAGTCAAACTGAGGAGTAGCAGCTTAACTTTTTTTTTTTAAACTAAAAGCTCCAGGTGTAAATCTGTAACGATGCCCGGACACAAGTGCGCCAATGTGCTTAGTTTCCTTTTTTGAAGTTTTTTCACCTGTTTGTTCATTCATGTTTTGAAAGCTGCTAAGATGAGATACTAAATTAAACAACAAATTACCAATATTTTGAATGGTGCCACTATAACTACAGATTTATTATATGTATTAAAGGTTTGATAATAGCTAAACACACTGTTATTCTCCCTACAATGAGGATTTAAAACTAAATACGATTAAACTTTAATTACTTCCACTGCACAGTACTCGTACCAATGCAGTTACCTACTGGACTTTTCACCTGGTTACCTTTGCTCGCTTCTAACCAAGGCAACCCTCTGCATCTGCTATCAGACTGGTGGCAGTTCATCAAAATAGCAGCATACTCACCAGGACACTGTGCTTCTGTGTGATAGTCTTATTGTTAAAACAGTGTTATCTGAGAGCAGTACAAAGGTACAGAGAGGGAGCAGAAGCAGCTGCAGATATGCTCTTTCAGAAGCACTGTGTTCTTTGGCCTATATCGTGATTGTGCTAAATACGTTTGCATGTTTCATGTTTTGTTTATGCCAAAAACAGCGCGATAAATGTTCACAATGCCAGTACTAAACATGACTACATCTTGAAAGTAATGTTTACCATATTCACCGAGCTAGAGACAGTCAAAGGTCTCTTGAAGAAAAGAAACATTAGAAGTAAACACTGAAAGAGGTTTTAAATCAGCCGTGTGAAGATAAATAGTATCGATTATTATTTCGTCTTTTCAGGACAATGTGCTGCTTATCATTAATCCATTCACATACACGCTAATGCTGACGAACGCTT